GATGTGTCAAAGCAGTCGGTCGACCATCTGCGCCCCGAAGGCAGGTGGGATTTGCTGGCGCCCCAGCCGTCTGTGCAAAATATCCATGCAAATGGTCGCGGGGCGGCCGCGCATGCTCCAAATGTCGAGGCAGAGTGCGTTCTGTATTGTTCTTTGACAAGGATGGTGCGGGGGGTGGCCCTCATGGGGTTATATCATGGCTCCGGGTTGGCTGCCAGCCGGGTGGGGGATGGGGGTGTATATTGAGAGGGAACAGGGATAAAACCCTCCCCGAAGGGGGGGTGGAAGAGGAAGCCCGCGAAACCTCACGCCCTAAAGGGCTGGTGGGCCGTGGGATTCTGGACGGCGCGCTGTCTCCACGCGCCCCTGCGAGCAAGCTCGGGCCGGGTCCCGGATTCGGTCAAGGCGCCCGCCCTTCCACCCCGGGTGCGGGCAGGGCATGTGTACTCACCCTCCCCCACCCCTTCTGTGTTGGGTCGTGGTCTCAAACAGAGCTACTGGTGATCCTTCCTTCTCCTCCCCACTTTTTTCAGTCCTGCCTCCTGCCTCCTCCTCCTCTCTGCAGTTCCCACTCCCCTCCTCTCAAATCTACCTCCTCGTTTCCCGCATCCCTCGTCGTTTCCTCTTTTCACTCCCTTTCTCTCGCTTTCTCTCCTCACTCGCTTCCCTGTGTGTTTCCTCTCTTCTCTCTCTCCCTTCTCTCGCGCCTCAGTCGCCGCTTTCGTGCGCCTCTGGGAGCCCAGCGTAGTGCGTAGTGACGTCATTGGCAGCTCCAGATGAGACCTCGCCCTTCCTGGATGACGCCAGGCGTGCAACTTTCGCCGCTTTCCCTCATCCTGGGGTCTGGGCCCAGTGGCGAGTCACGAACTCGCACTCCCTGCATGACGCCAGGCGTGCACTTGCCGCCGCTCTCGTGCCCCTCCAGGGTGCCCAGTGGAGTGGGTTGGTGAGCCACGCAGACACCCAAGCAAGCCCTCTCCCTCCCCAGGCGCCACCAGGCGTGCGACCGCCACCGTTCTCCTGCGCCCCAGACGTTCCATCGGAGCGCTCCATCGAGAGCAGCCAAGTGCAAGATCGCCCTACTGGCGCGAAGTGATTCGCTCGCTTCGCGCTTCGCGCTTCGGCTCCGATTCCTCGTCCTCCTCTCCTCCCCTGGTGGGCGGACGGGAGCGCGAAGTTGTTCGCGCTTCGCGCGGCGCGAAGCGCGAAGCTAGGCGCCCGTGCACGTGAGGCCTCGCCTCCCTGAGTGTTTCCTCGCGTCTTGGGTGGGGGCTGAGCGTTTTCTCGTGGCCGCCCCCCCAAGCTTGCTTACCATGGCATTTTTCGATTCCCGTGCTCCAGTCTACTTTGCGCGCCTCCCTACTTCAATGATCGACCGGCTTCTCCCCTTTCCGTCCTCTGGACGGGACCCAATCTTTTTTAAACCCCTTCCTGCTTCATGCTGCTACCCGGACGGAACCCAATCTACGTTTACCGCCTTCCTACTTCATGCTTCTGCCCGGACGGAGCCCAATCTACTTTCACCGCCTTCTTACGTCATGCTTCTGCCTCCTTCTTCCGCCCGACGGGCAGAGCTGCAACAGGCAGCTCGAGGGGATCCTTCCGTACGCACCCTGAAATCCTTCAGTTCAGCGATCTGGCCCTTGAGCGTCTCTCTGACGACTGGGCGGGCGGGGATTGCTGAACTGATGGATTTTGGTGTCCTGGCATACCGAACTCTATCAGTCCAGTAATCCTCGCCTCCCCAGTCGCCCTGGAGACGCTCCAGGGCCAGATCGCTGAGCTGAAGGATCTCGGGGGGCGTATTCCGGTGCCCCGGAGCTCGCCCCCCCACTTGGAGCGCCACGACGGGAGCGCCTGCGAGGGCAGCCTCGCCCTCGGCCCTGGCGGGGGCGACGGCGCTGCCTCCCGCCGCCCCCTCCGCCCGCCCCCTGCCCCCGGCCCCCTTGTTCAAGCAGTGGCGAAGCGTCCTGGCGTGCCCATAGGCCCACCAAACAATGTTCTGAGAACCTTGTGTGGTTTCCACGAAATGTTCTTATAACACTTCTGGTTGACCTTTTCTTGGTTTGACGCACCGGGTGAATGTTCTAGGAACATTGTTTCTGCTCTTAGAACATTTTGGGTTCTAGGAGAATTTCGTGGTAGGACTATAGGAATGCCGGGACGGTCGGTCCCTACTCAGCTTTTCACGTCCCTTCCCCGTTGACGCGTTCGCATTGTCATGTCGCCAACTTTGCAGAGCGGATTTCGGTCGGAAGACAACATGATGGGCCCGGAGTGTCCTGGATAG